GCGGCACGTTTTGTTAATGATGTAGGCAATATAAACATAAAAAATATAAACCGGCTTCATTTCACATTCCTAAAGTTAAACAAAGATAATACTTTGGAGGTTAACTAGACACAGGCGTTGAGCAGCAAGCTCACTACTTAGACAGTGGTGTTAGAGCATCGTTTAAGTGTTAGCCATGGTGATAGAGCATCGTTTAAGTGTTAGCTTTACCCAGAGACTATTCACAATGCCACGTCAGCACAGTAAGGCGGAAAATAAACTCAGCTTTGGCACTTTCATGGCATAAACTTGTCTGCACGTTTGTCATGCTGGCATTATCTAGCTTAAGTTACTAAACATACATTGGCTCCAGCCTTATCAATAACAGTTGCATGTCTTACATGTGAGAGAAATGCTAAAGTAAAACCAGCCTAATAAACATGTCAAAGAATATGGGTGTTACATGTGTAATAGATTATTCAGACGCTTTATGTCAATGGTGAGTGTTCAGTACTCTTGTCATGCTGTGTTGGTAGGTAAGTATGGCGAGGGGTAAGGGTGGCATTAGGCAGAGTCTCGCATGTGTGGATCACCCTACCCCCACTCTCACCACATTAGTCCCACTGCAGGACCGAGGTCCAGAGGTTCTCCTCCCGGCAAGCTGTAGATGGGCTCTTTGCCAGTTTGGTCCGCCGGTCGCCAACCCTGCTATATTATGAGGGATGGCTCATTGGGATTTGTGTGTCCCCTTGTGCGGATTTACGCCTTGCCGTTTGGCTGTTGCTTGGACTGCTGAGTGGTAGGCAGGTCATGTGCACCGGCGGGTTCGGCTCCGAAGCCTGGGAGCGTGATTGGTGCTGTCTGGGGAGCATGGCGACACTTCCCGCCCTGCTGTTCTGCGGTTCCGTTGCCAGCGGGAGGCTGCTCTATATTCGCGAGGAAGATTCCCCCGCAGAAAGCGCCGGGTAGCCAGGCGGATCCACGCCTCCATCTCTCTCACGGCTCGCCTGAAGAGCTGTCTCCGGGCATTAAGCTTCTTCCAAAGGTAACTGCAGAGCCGTTCGTAAAATTCCGGAGTGTGCTTGGGTGGTGCAGTGAGTGTGTGCCTTGTCTTTGTCTGCTTCTGTGCTGCCATCTTGGCTAGGCCCTGATGGTCCTGGGTGCATGAGAGTTTTGTCGCTTGGGCTGTCAGCGATGTGGGGGTATTCGTCCCCAGCGAGCACCGTGATGTCCCCCGCCGGTCCAGAGGGGGGGGCAGCAGGGCTGTTGTGTGCTCTCGTTTGTGAGCGCGTCCCGAGCCGGGGTATCGGCCGCCTCCCCCAGACCTCAGTTCCCGCTCTGGTGTAGGCCGCATGGCCGGTGTCGGTTTTTCCGCGGCGCTCCGGTGCTGGGCCGGTATAGTTTTGTAGCTCGTGTCTTCCTGTGTTTGGTGCCGGTCACCGTTTGCCGCTAGCACTTTTGGATCGCTCCTTATGATCATTCTTTTACCCGCTGCTGCAGGAGCTCTCAGCATGTGCGGCCGGCCATCTTGGCTGTCAGGCCCCACTGCCACTAGAAACATTCTTTAAGCCATCTATGCTTCTAGTTCCAGTTTGGTCTTAAAATTTTGTAGATATACCCCAATTGAAAAATGCATTTATTATGCATTTTGTGGGGGTATCTCTAAAAACATCTTGCAAAACCTGCAGTTCTTTTGTTGTCTGCTGCCTTTGCAATCCCTCCTTCTCTAACCCCACCCAGACTCTCTGTGGCTGTCCACTCACAGACTTCCTAATGCAGCTCAATGAGACGTCTTTGCAAGGCAGGTGCTCTGGGCAATTGCCTGCGACCGGTGGTCTGACTAACAGACACACTGACATGGGGTGTAACAAGGTTAATTTATAAAAGTGTCAATTTCTACTGAAATTTGCACTTTTTGTAAAATGAAAATCAGAGGACACCCTACTTACACATAACGCTAACTCTGTGCTAATTTAAAGGGAGTGTGGATATTTTGTACAATAGGAATATTCTGACATACTGTCATAGAGAAAATTTACTATATAAATTTTACAGTGCAAAAGTAGGGAACAAACTTACAGCATGAAACAAGTCTCAAATAATCCAGTGGAATGTATTTGTACAAATATAGAGTATTGTTTTTATTCTTGCATTGGCTTTTCCTCCACATTAGCTAAAATGTAAAAATGTAACCTACGGTGCTGTACTTTAACCCAACTTACCATAGAGCAACTGTACTAGGAAATACCTACCATGGAACACACCAAATGTGAGACAACCCCTAAAATGAAACACTCACCTTTGAACACACCTTAACATGGAATACACCATCAAACATGCCTAGTTTTTTCTGCCTCCTTTTGGATCAACAGCCAAAAACAAATGTGAGGAAGGCTGAACTTGATGGACGCAAGTCTCTTTTCAGTTATGTAACTATGTCACTAAGAAGGGAACACTTCTTGAAACTCTAATGGAACACTGTCTACCATGGAATATACCCTACAATGAAATACTGCCTACCATGGAATATACCGTACCATAAAACACTACTTAACAAAGAATATACCCTACCATGAAATACTACCTACTATGGAATATACCCTACAATGAAATGCTACCTACCATGGAATTTACCGTGCCATGAAATACTTTCTACGATGGAATAAACCGTACCATAAAATACTTTCTACCATGGAATATACCCTACCATTATTATTATTATTATTATTTTATTATTTATATAGCGCCATCAGATTTCGTAGTGCTGTACAATGGGTGTACTAACAGACATGTTATTGTAGGAGAAAACAAGGGTTTGGCTGCACTCACCTAAACATACTTAAATGGGGTGCTGCTGGGAGCCAATAAGTACAGTAAAAATGAAAATCCAGCGCACTCACTTATCTACTAAACCGTTATTTTAGTGCTGAACAATTTTGTTAGTTTTATTAAAAACACCTAATCTAGGCAAAAAATAATGGGGGTTTAGTTACATTATATGACCATACATTGCATAAGCCTGCCACAACGCCAATGTACCCCATAGGTCCTACTCTGTCTGCTAAATTGTTAACTGTTAACTAACAAAATTGTTCAGCACTAAAATAACTGTTTAGTAGATATGTAATTGTAACCAGACAACTGGATGTACCGGAACAGAGGGGGTGAGCTTACATTCTAGAGGGAGTGGGGTATAGTGACACAAAGGGTAAAAGTAGGGGTACGAAGTAGGTTGTTAGAAAAGCATTAATTGAGTGCTTAGTAGGTCATTTTTGATAGTTGCAGGAGAGGAGTCATGGAGGGTGGGGGATGAAAACCTGGTAATTGATATGCTTTCTTGAAGAAGTGAGTTTTCAATGATTTTTTGAATCAGTGGAGACTGGGTGAAAGTCTTGCGGAGAAGGGATGGGAGTTCCACAGAAGAGGTGCAGGCCTAGAGAAATCTTGGAGGCGAGCATCAGAGGTGGGAATACGGACAGAGGATAATCGTAGGTCTTTGGCAGAGCGCAGGGGCCTCGACGGGACATACTTGTGTATTAGGGAGGATTGATTGGACATGAGGGGTGAAGGAGAGGTTGGAGTCAAAAAGAAGACCCAGGCAGCGAGCCTGCAAGGTAGAGGTGATGGTGGCGTCGTTGACTTGGAGGGAGACAGACACGGGAGTAGCCACACTTGAGGGAGGAAAGACCAGAAGTTCCATAAAATACTACCTACTATGGAATATACCCTACCATGAAATACTACCTGCCATAGAATATACCCTGCTATGAAATACTTCCTACCATGGAATATACCCTACCATGAACTACTACCTACCATGAAATACTATTTACCATGAAATACTACATACCAAAGTATATACCCTACTATGACATACTGGCTAACATGGAATATAACCTGCTATGAAATACTACCTACCATGGAATATACCCTACTGTGAAATACTGCCTACCAAAAAAAAATCCCTACCACAAAATACTTCCACCATGGAATTTACCTTACCATGAAATACTATCGACCAAAGAATATACTCTACTATGAAATACTACTTACCATGGAATATACCCTACCATGAAAACACCATATTATAGAACATATCATGGGATACTCTCTACTGCAGAACACTGTCTACAACATAACTGTGCACTTACTAATGCGCATACTGGCCACGTGTGGGTCATGAAGTATGACGGTTATGCGTGGTGACGTATGAACGCATGCGCAATCACGGCAGCCGGCAGACGGACCGGCAGATCAAAAGGAAGAAGCGGAGGAAGATATGAAGAAGACTCCTGAGGAAGTCTGACCACGAAACGCGTTGAGCATTGACTATCATTTGGGACCCTGTATTGTGGTATTAGCGGCTGTACTGTTTATGTGTGCTGATTTGTGCTGACTATCTCCTTTTTTTTATCTTTGGACTCTTTGGGCTATTTGTATGCATTATGTGTTATTGATTTGATGCTCTTTCGACACTAGCATCCGGTATTCAAGTATTTGCACTTTTTTACTACACTGTGCACTTTAGCATTTGCACTTTATTGCCCTGTTCAGCATTATATATTAGTGAGCTGCTATACCTATGGGTTCCTGTTTATTATATGTTTGAGCACTTTTTTGTGCTGTTATTTTATCTATTCTGTATCAATAAATTACTATTTTCTATCCAGATATTGGATATATTTAAGTATATGGTTCTTCCCTTTACATACACCTATTTAGTGATTGTGGCGCCTTGTTAGTTTGTATATACCTGTTGTTTAATATTGGATTTGGAGTATCCAATTTACAGAGTCTAGCCTGCACTTGGTTTATATTTATTTTTTTATTGCCTATCCACCCACCTTTCCATCCTTTTGTTTGTATAGTTCCAAGTTAACTAAACATCAGATTTCCATTTTATTTTAATATTACCCCTTATTTTAATGCTCTATTATATTATATACGGCTGCTTTATTGCTACTAATAATCATAACTAATTTGTGCAACTAGCTGCAAACAGTAGTGAGACACACCCTATCATGGAACACACAGAGCAACACAGAAACACTCCTTACAACAGAACACACCCTATCATGGAACACACAGAGCAGCACAGAAACACTCCTTACAACGGAACACACCCTATCATGGAACACACAGAGCAACACAGAAACACTCCTTACAATGGAACACACCCTATCATGGAACACACAGAGCAACACAGAAACACTCCTTACAACGGAACACACCCTATCATGGAACACACAGAGCAACACAGAAACACTCCTTACAACGGAACACAACCTATCATGGGACATTTTCTACCATGGAATATACTTTACCAAGGAACTATCTTAATCATGGAGCACATCCAGCTATCAAACACACACTACAAAGGAACACTCCCTGGAACTCCAGTGCAACTCTGCTTATCATTGAACACTCTCCACCATGAAACAATAACTGCCATGGATTTCCCTACCATGGAACAGACGACCCTACCATAAAACACACTATATATTGGAACACACATAATTATCGAAGTTGTCCAACAACTACGAAACTCTCCCATGCCTACATCATGTCTGCTATAGAACACACCATATAAAGGAACAAGCCATACTATGGAATACTCCCTAGAAAGTAACACTATCTGCCAAGTGTAATGAGTTTCACTTAACTCTCTTCCCTCGCAGCACAGGTCCTGCCGCAGCTGCTCCACCTCCTTGGTTGAGATCATCACGAATGGTGATCTCAGCCAATCCTGTGCTTCTCCTTACAGAAGCATTGGTCAGCAAGTGCGCATGCATGGCCAAATCGCTGCACTGTGCCGCATTTGACTAAGAAACAAGTCTGACTTGGTTCTAACAAGGAAACACTTCTAATCAAGAAGACACCCCTGTGTTTAACCCTGCAATGGAAACATTCTGTCATTTCTACAAAACTGCAGTGTTTTACATTGCTAGGTTAAAAATAAAGGACCATTGCAACCAGACCACTTCATTGCGATTGCTTTTAGTGTTCGTTTAACATGCAACACACCCTGTCATTCAGCACTCCCTAACATGGAATACTCCACACCATGGCTATCGATATATTATTCTGGTTGCAAAACATTCTCCTTTTTATGGTACTTTAATTGACATCTTGCTTGTACTCATCATTTCATGTACATGCCGTTGAATTATCCCTTTAAATGGTTACACATAGATTAGTCATGTTGTAATATTCAGAGCATTTAGGAAATAAGTATCTTTATTTTTGTTCGTGCATGAAATCACATTCTGGCTTGCTACGCCACAATAGCTGTAGGAAACCGTTGAGTATCAGTATAAAACATAGCATGGAAAATACTGTGCACATTTTTTAAAGGTAAGATGAAAATAAACAAGCTTATCAGGTATTTTAGGAACAAGGTATTATCGAAACATAGGAAAGGATACCAGCTTCTTTAAGCAGTATAGAGTAAAGTTTATGCTGAAGGTACATGTTAGGTAAATTAAGGATTAACGTTGCCATCGGAACTGGCTTAGGCATAGGGTATCACAGGCAGGGTCATTCCAACCTATATAAAACACAATTTTAGAAAGGAAAAGCTGATAAAAATGCTCAAATCACCAAGTGTGAGTCACTCCAAATCACACAAAGAACCATACAATACAATAATAATATAGTGAGAGCAAACTCTATACACCAGATAAAATGGATATAAAAACAGGCAATATTACCATATGGCTGCAATGTCCTAAAAATAGAAAATAAGGAACATAGTATAGCCTGTATAGAATATACAAAAAATAATAAAATGTAAAATTGTCCACTCACGTGGTACTGAGCCGTTCAGTGGCTCAGACTATAGGCGCCTTGTAAAAATATGGAGACCACAATGCTGGAAAGGCAAATCTCTGTAAGAATTCCCTTTTGTGACTGAATGGAAAGTCGAGTCAGGAAATACAGGAACAAATTTTATTCGCCAACAATCGCATATAAAATGGAATCTCTCAAATTATTGCACTAACGCGTTTCAACCTAAACGGTCTTTATCAAAGTGCTTCACATTCCAGCCGGGAGAGTCTCATTGTCAGGCTCAGACGTCCTCGATCTGCTGGTATGTTGTGGGAGTGGGGCAGACATGTTGTGGTTTGCAGGGTCAGTCCGAGTGGTTCCGACTTCCGCGGTACGTTGTGAGGCAGGCTCTTCAGGTTAGCCGGGTATGGAGGTGCCAGGTTGCTCGGAGCAGGGTAAGCCGTAGGCCTCTGTTGGTGTTGGCTGGGTTTAAGTGGGTTTGAAGAGTGCTTACGGTGGTGCTTAGCCGTCGATAGGTTTCATACTTTTCCCGGTTGGGACTGTGCTTCAGGGCGGATGCTGGACAGTGCCGGGCGGATTCTTTGGCGCCTTGTTTGTTTATGTGGCCTCCGTTTCTTCTTCTTTAGTGGCAATGCTGCACCACAGTTTCGCCCAGGAGTCGCAGGCTGCCAGGTTGTGAGTGGCATGGTTGGGTCTGGCTGGGCTCCAGCAGGCTTGTGCCGGCATGAGGCTATTGTGGCCCAGATGTTTGCAAATAAGGCATCAAGCCTCTCCTGCAGAGTCAGTCTGATGGTTTGAGGCAGTGAGATGTACGAGGTGTCCGCCATCTTGGTCTTGGTGGGTGGGTAGTCTCGAGTGTATAGTGGCAGGAACTTCACGATTTTGCCACCGTTGAAAGTTGCCAGGATAACCCCCACCGGCTGGAAGCACCACTGGTATGGGAGCTAGGGGTGTCACCCGATATTGTAGTGTAGAGGGCTGTAAGTTTTGGGTTGCAGGGTTGTATTTATCACTTATTTATGAGCCAGATTGTGCGGAGCTCTCAGTGTGTACGACCATTCCGTGCAGCTGCCAGGCTCTGCCTGAAAATAAGTATCTTTAACGAGAAAGATAGCTAATCTTAACTGAACGAAAACTCAAAACTGTCTCGAGGTCTTTGTAATCAGTAATCTTCTATGTATTATCTCAAAATGTGGATATCTGCAAGATCATAGCAGTTGTTAAACTATAAGGGTAGGGGTAGGGTTAGGGAATTGTCAAAGTCCTGAATTTCGGAAGTGCCGAATCAAACCGAAGTGCAGATTTGCCGAAGTCACGAATTTTGGAAGTGCCGAACCGAACCAAATTTTTTGCTCGTGCACATCCCTAAAGGAAAAAAAAACATTTCTACTTTGTGCTTTTGCAGGCTTTTTTTTTTTTTGTCAATCTTTCTTTTATTGAGGCGGAGTTGTAATACAGTACAAAAAAGGAGTAATAACAAATGCTTATTAAGCACAGGTACGATACATATGAGCAATACTCAGCAAGTACAAGAGTGTGCAATCCTTAGTGGAATAGCCTCATTTTTAAGAGAAAATAGTATAAAAATAACAACATGGTAATTCACAAGCCACTGAGGTATAACAACAAGCAAGCAGGTATCCCGGGATGGTGAGACGGTAATGCGAGGACACTGGGCCTGCGCTGTTTTGAGGGGAATCTTATTGGAATAGAATGGCCTGTGCGTGTAGTCGTACAGTAAGTGATTGATACTACTCGCAATACATTGCATCCCATTAGGTAACGTAATAAAAGTGTCAGACTACAGCTAAAATTAGGGGTTAGGGATGCTTTGCACCTCTGGCATTAGTGTAGGGTACAAGGAGAAAAGCGGTTGTTTTGGAAACACCCGCTTAGTCAGGTGCGAGAACATTGTAGTGCCACCATACAGCAGCCGGCGAAATGTGGTATTTCAGCAGCCTCTATAGCGTGGGCTAGGCCGTGCATTTTTATGTTTTCCCAGCACTTAATGTTGTCTAATTGTCCCATGTGGTCTTGCGTACAGCTGTGGTCTTTCTGGACTGTCTGTAGCTGCTGTTCTAGGAGGGTAATGCAGAGTTCCTGAGGCGCAGTATTCAGCTCTGCGTAGTGGAGCCGCTTAGACACTCCACCAAGCTCCTTGTGGAATAGGCCTCTGTCGGCTGTGATGTTCCGTCAAAGCTCGTCACGGAGGCCCTGTAAGGTATTTTCTGTCACAGGATTATTCATGGTAGGTGTAGTTGGCGGAGGCTTGCCCAATCTCGCTTCTTGCCTGTCCATTACTGCGGAATCTGCAAGAGAATCTTCGCTGGAGGATTAGGAAGGCCCTGCTGACAACACCATGATAGTTTGCTGGGAGAGTTGCGGCCTTCACAGAAATTCCCCAATGTCAGCAGTTGTCGGCGTTTTATTTGCCTTATACCATTTACTTTTCTTGCCCATAGCTTAGGTAAGTACTTTCTGAGCAACTGTTTGTGCAAAGGTCAGTTTAGCCCTCAAATTTTGGCAATTCTGCGTAGTTTATTGGCGGAGCTCTCCTGGAACACATCCGGACATGTATGGTTGCTGGCTCTGCCCTACTTTTGCAGACTTTTTAACCCCTTAGTGACCTTGGGCATATAAGCATTAACAGTCATTAACGACCTCGGACGTACCTGATATATAATAATAATAATAATACGAAATATACATATGTCCATATACATAATTACATAAATAATTTCCTAAATATACACGTAGACTTCAAATATATAAATATGTATATATATTTAAAGTCTACGTGCATATTTATGTAATATTTTTAACACACAAACAAATATAAATGCTAACTTTGGCCAGTGTTTGTGACTAAGTGGCTACTAAAAAAGACTGGACATACCCCATACTAAACTGTCTACTTAAAAAAAATGTCCCAAATAGGACATGGGTGCATGATGACCAACTGTGAAAATTCCAAATTGGAAAACTGGAATGCGCACCCTCCAAATAAGGTATTTTAGCCCCCAGAGAACCTGACACACCTATACATGGGGGGTATCACTGTACTCAGGAGATGTTGCTGAACCCATTTTGGGGTGTTCTTTGGCAGTAACCCTTAAAGTTCTCAGTACATGTATTCGTAAATTGCTATGTGTGTCAAAAAAAATCACTAATTTTTTTAAAAAAAAATTTATTTGGCATAAATTGGTATAAATTTAAAAACTATTTAGCATGGGTGTTTTTTTGCAGTTGTAGATGCGTAACAGATTTTGGGGGTCAGAGTTAGAAAAGTTGTGTTTTTTTACATTTGTTCATCATAATTTTTTTATGGTAAATTATATGTTATAATGAAAAAATTGTATCTTTGGAATGACCATTTAATGGCAAGAAAAATGGTATATAATATGTATGGGTACAGTAAATGAGTAAGGAAAATTACAGCTAAACACAAACAACGCAGAAATGTAAAAACAGCCCTGGTCCCAAACGGTAAGAAAATTGAAACGCTGTCTGGTTACTAAGGGGTTAACAACATCACACTTTATATGTAATAGGTAGACGAGTGCGAGCCTTTAACCTATTATTTTCTATGGACATTTTAGTGTGCGTTTGTCTGTAAGCTAACTTGAAACAGGCAGGTTTTGTGCACATATATGTATCTTATTGATTTTGCCATGTTATTACAGAGCTTATTTTTCCTTTAATTGGTGTAATTAATTAATAAGTAATCGTTAGTTAGCGTTGTAGATCTCATTAAGCCAGAGACGGTGTTTGTGATCTTCATTCTGTTCATGCCCAAACGTTTTGGGCAATTGGTTATTTGTTAGAAAATTATGTTTAACCCCTTAAGGACACATGACATGTGTGACATGTCACGATTCCCTTTTATTCCAGAAGTTTGGTCCTTAACGGGTTAAGTGCTTTTATTTTATTACTAGGTGTATTGTCATTTATAGGTACTACATGTGCTCACTGGTCCTGGTAAATTTCAATAACTCCTCTGTGAGCATTGAAAAAAACGTGACTATTTAAAGGCGCACTCCAAGCACCATAAACATCACTATATTCATTATGGTGACCTCTTCCCCCTTGTAAAGACTCAAACCATTTTGGGCTGGTTTAACTTCTTACCTGGGATCTGCTGGGCACTGCACAATGCCTACACTAAAGCTCACTGAAGCCGAATGCGCTCCTCATTAAGTTAAGCCTGATGGTGTAGGGCTTAGCTCATGGCTGAGAGTGTTTAGCTGATATTCTCAACTAGTGTGCAAACCCTTAGCTCAGGAGAGATAATGGAAGCTCATAAATAGAGGAGGCAGGGAACAATGCCCATTCTAAAACAGTTTGACTCCTTACAGTGGTGGGGAGGAGGGACACCAGTATTGCTGGCACCATAGACACAACAGTGTGATGTAGTGGTTATGGTGCTTGAAGTATTCTTTTAATGCAGGGGTTCCCAACCCAGTCCTCAAGTACCCCCTAGCAGTCCAGGATTTGAGTTTTTCCTGTTGTGTCTAAAGTGGGTTTTTTTTCTTCTTTTTTTTTTCTAAAAACACCTTAGACACAACTAAGTAATCCCTAGATTCTGGACTGGTCTGTGGCGGATCCAGGGGTGGGGGGGCAACGGGGAGGTCCGCAGGTACCGTGCTGGCAGCCGGCAGGGGAGGGAGAGAGGACCCGGGAGCTTGCAGCTCTTTCAGGTCCTACTCTCGCGAGCACGGAGCGTTGCCGCGGTTACCACGGCAACGCTCCAAACCTCGCGAGAGTAAACTCTAGCCCTGGAGCTGCGGGCTAGAGTTCATTCTCACCACTGGGACCACCAGGGATTCCCCACAGACTACCAGGGATCCAGAAATGCCCCCCTCCTCCCAGTAAAGGTAAGAAGGGAGCATAAATATATTTATTTAATTAAATTAAAAAATTTAAAAAATTATTAAAAAGCCTCCCTACCCTCCTTCCCCCCATACACACACTGCCCCACAAACACTGCACCCCCTTCACACACTGCACACTCATAGACACATTGCCCCACACACACTGCTGCCCCCCCATACACACATCGCCTCACACACACGACCCCCCATACACACACTGCCCCACACGCACATACGGTGCTTCCCATACACACACTGCCACCCATACACACATTGCCACACATACACATATTGCCCCCATACACACATTTCCCCCCACACACACACATACAGTGCCCCCCATACACACACACATACAGTGCCCCCCATACACAAACTGCCCCCACACACATACAGTGCCCCCCATCCACACACTGTCCCAAACATACATACAGTGCCCCCCATACACACACTGCCCCACACACACATACAGTGCCCCCCATACACACACTGCCCCAAACATACATACACTGCAAGCCTCACACACACACACACTGAAACTCTCACACACACTGCCCCCCTCACATACACTGCCCCCTAACACACACACTGCAACCCTGACATACACTGCTGCCCTCACGCACTCGCACACACACTTCACCGCTCACACACACACACACACACACTGCACCTTTCACACACACTTTACCCCTAACACATACCACTGCTCCTATGCCCTATATCCCAGCAGACCCCAGGTAAGTTGTCAAACTGTTCTTAAATGGTTTGACTACTTACTTTGGGATGGGATCCTGGCACTACTGGCACCATAACTACTACACTGAGCTGTAATGGTTATTGTGCCTGGATTATTTCTTTAAATAATCTACAAGTGCCCCTCCCGAGATCAGGCTCTGGATTGAGGACTGGGTTGGAAACCACTGTTTTAATGCGAGGTATAGGTCTCTTTTTCACTTAGATGATAATGTGAGGCTTGTCAAAATGTATCACAATAGGGGGTTGTAATTCCGTCAACATCATTAACAGTTCATCAGGAACCCCGAACATGTCAACAACTATTGGAAATTAGATTGTAATTCCACCTTAGTGCGGCAATGAGAGCGGGTGTGCCGGCATATTTATATATATTTTGTATAAAAATGTATATTTACTTTAATTTTTCTGCATTTTTAAGTGACATTATATAGCAGTAAGAATATTGGGTTTCTGAGAAGAAAAGTAGATTTTTTTTAGATAAACGTTTGTTTTTTATGACATGGCACATTTATCAAGCTGCACAAAGTCTAATTTAAAGGCCATATACTATGTCACCCTCGGACCAAGATAAGCACAAATTAGTACTTTGATGTGACAGGTTCATCCATTATAATGTCTGCTAAGGGCTACGTGACTTAAGAAAAATTGTATTGTGTCATTGTAAAGTGGCTCTGTCACAGTCTGGGGTCTTTGCATTTTTTGTGGTGCAGGAGAAGGGAAGTTTTACCCTAACAAGTTCCTCATGGCCGCCACCATGGTCTTCCTGCTATTCCTCTCCATCTCCTGGAGCTTCGTCTGACTAGAGCCCACGTCAGTGTTGTATTCTCTCGAACACAAAACAAAACTTGACAAAGATAGCTCTGCCTTTTGTCCCTACTTGATATATATTTTAACTGCATTACTCGTGGGTTGGGGATGACAGAGACACTTTAACTTCGGTTTACATTAAAAATAAATATTTTTAATTGGCTTATCGTGATCCATCTACCTATACATCTATATTGCAGCATACAAACGAAAACAAACAAATTCAAGTGCTAATGGCACAAAAAAAAAAAGAAAAGACCAAACTAATTGAAATGAAGCACACAGTGTATAAGCCCAAAATGACACTCAATAACATATTAAAAACAAATAAGGTAGGTGCGCTATGTCTTTAAGACGTGTACTAAATAAGATATTATATGAAATTTTGTATAAATGTTATTTCCTAAAGTGCATATATCCTTAAGTATTATAATAAATGTGCACCAGTGCAATAAATAGACCACAATAAAGTGATGCAATTTTTGTGCAAAAAGCAGTGCAAAGTGTCACACTTCACTTACATGTTAACACATAATATAAACATTGGTATGAGTTGGCTCCACATTGAAAGTAAACTTGTAAGAAAAGAAGAAAAAAATAAAGAAGAAAAAACAACCTCATAGGACAATATTGCAAAATACACTAAAATAAATATTTTAGCTTAAAGGGCCACTATAGTGCCAGGAGAACATACTCGTTTTCCTGGCACTATAGTGCCCTGAGGGTGCCCCCACCCTCAGGGCCCCCTTACCGCCAGGCTCTAGGGGGAGGAAGGGGTTAAATTTACCTCTTTCTCCAGCGTCAGGCGGGAGACTCTCCTCCTCCTCGGCTGATTGTGCATGCGCGGCACAAGCCGCGCATGCATTCAGCCCGTCCATAGGAAAGCATTCTCAATGCTTTCCTATGGACGCTGGCGTTTTCTCACTGTGAAAATCTCTGAAACTGCTATGTTTACAGCAGGCAGGGTTAAACGTAGCTGGACCTGGAACCCAGACCACTTCATTAAGCTGAAGTGGTCTGGGTGCCTATAGTGGTCCTTTAAGAAGGGAGCACTCACAAGTGTAGAGCAGAGGACCCTGCTCTACCTGTAATGGCTTCAGGATGTACCACTATGGACTCTGCTATGGTTAAAAATCCAATCTTTATTGTAACAAATTAAAAATCAGCAGCAACTTGCAGAATTTACTCTTTGCCTCTCACCCCACCAATAGAGGTCTTTCTAGGTCTCACCACTGCCGGCTGTATACTACAGAATGAATGGTCAATGTGGGAAGATGATGTGAAAGATACATTTGGACTTTAACCATGTTCCCACCTGACTCAATACATTTTCTGCTTCCTTATATTTTTTTTAGTACCATGTTTTATTAATTACTTGACACTTTATTTTATTTCTGTACATAGTTTACTTATTTCATATACAAATATTTATGTGTATTTTATTCGATTGCTTATTTAGTTTTGACAATGGTTTATAAGTCATTATATATATATGCCAATGTTGTATGATATATTATATTATTTTAAAATATTAATAAGAAATATTTGACGTAAAAATAAACATTTTTATTGACGTTTATTAATATTTGTGAATATCATAGCATGATACACAGCTTTATTACCAATCTTGTAAAAAGAAAACAAAAAAACACTTTTTATGTATACTTTTTTCCATGAGTGACCCTCTGGATTAATTTGATTTGTATACAAAGGAGCGTCAAAATTGGCTGAGAAAATGCTGCCTCAACCTGGTCTTTTTTAGAAGCTGCAGATTTTCTGCAAACAATGATTATTCAAATGTAAGCATATTTTTGTTATGAGTCTGAATGCGTTATTCCCATAATTTACATAAAAAGGATTATCTTCTGAATAGGAACATGCCTTTAAGGCTTTACAAACCCTGTTGGTTAATATAATGCAGGACAAAGCTAGCACATGTATAATTCTTAAAGGATCACTATAGTGTCAGGAAAACAAACTCGTTTTCCTGGCACTATATAGTCCTTAGGTCCCCCCCACCCTCAGGGTCCCCTCCCGCTGGGTTGAAGGGGTTAAAACCCCTTCAGCCTCTTATCTTTATCCAGCGCCGGGCTCCCCCGGCGCTGGTGACCCTCTTCCCCCTCCAACGTCAGCTCCCGAGTGGAGCCAAATGTGCATGCGCAGCCAGAGCTGCGTGCGCATTAAAAACTCCCATAGGAAAGCATTTCTGAATGCTTTCCTATAGACGTTCTGCGTGCTCAATACGATTTTCGCATTGAGCGTCAGGGGAAGCGCCTCTAGCGGCTGTCCGGAAGACAGCCACTAGAGGCTGGATTAACCCTGCAATGTAAACATAGCAGTTTCTCTGAAACTGCTATGTTTACATCTGAAGGGTTAAAACCTGGGGGACCAGGCACCCAGACCACTTAATTGAACTGAAGTAGTCTGGGTGACTATAGTGGTCCTTTAAATTCAAATGAAACACCTACAGTACTTGCAGCATTTAAAATATCTGAAATGTGTTTAGTCTCTTTAAAAATCCTCCCAGTAGATAAAGAGTTACTTTTACTTATTGCGCCTTAGGAATGGCATTTTTCACAATTCAGCATCTTTGGCAGTTAGTTATTAACTTGTTTTTCTGCTACTGCTGGACGGCTGGCAAAAACAAAATTGCTTTTACATTAAGGAGTAACAATAGGCAGTCTGTCATACCAGTTTGTCTTAGTCACGTGCTCCTGACTCCTGGAATCAGAGAAACCACACAATTTATTATTTTAATTATAAAGAACTGACGTACTGTACAGCTCTTTATATATGGTAGTTTGCAAAGATGGGGTTTTCAATTAAATGCTAAAAAATGCTAAGAGTTCAAAATAAATTCAATGTGAGCTACATATTTTAGGTCACTTAATATTTTTTTCTTATTTCTATTTATTACTTTGTTTAAAAAAAATCTGTTTCCTTTCAAAACTTGATGAAACGATTATATACTAAAAAATAGTTTAGAAGGAGTTGACAGTTGACCTTTTAGATGGAATGTTTAGGGAAACGGCTAGTAAAAACATATTGTGAAACATGATTTTTGTATAGAAAGCAATTCCGGTGCAATGTTAGAATGAAGTAATCTGCAGGAACATTCCATTGGTTGCCATGGTGATTGCTCCTCTATTAGAGCTTGACATTGCAATTGAAAGGTTATTTAAAGGCTTATCTGCAGCATCGACCTATATATAGGATCACTGTGTGCATGAATATTATCTGCTTTGCTCTTCGAGGCCAGTTTGCCAGATTCTGGCTTCAGAACCGTGGTATTTTTTGATTATTATCCAATCCATCAGTACATAAAAGGCTATTTGATTCACTATGGATGTATCTGTGTTTCGTATCTGCTTATACACGTAAAGTTCCCAAGTTCATACGCAGGGTGCCAGATTGGTACCCTTCCCCATAGAGTCCTAGCTCAGTTTCTGTGTGTGTGTGTGGAGGGGGCCGAGGGCTGTTTGGGGGGGGAGGGGGTGTGTGCGTGACTGTGAGTGCTGGTTGAGTGTTATGTGTGTAGTGGCTGATTTTTGGGCGCTTATATTTAATTATCTTCAGTAGAGGGTGAGCAGGATCCCTGGTGGTCCAGTTTTGAAGCTCTATTGTCTGTATTGTCTGTCTGTGAGTGCCCTTCCCACACCAGAACTCATGGAAATGACTTATGATCATTGACAAATGCTGGGAGACCACAAGGGCACTCATAAAGGGGTCTGTCCCTGATATTGGTACAGGCCATAACGTTTCCTCAACAATCTGAGGGAGATACCCTGGCAGCTTGCAGAAAGACTGCTTAAACCTGGAATTACAACCCAGATAGCAGCTGAAAACTGGAATTTGTTAGTTTAACAATTGAAGTGCAAAGTTTAAGCCAAAAGTGGCAACTTGAAAGATTTATTGATAGGGAGATCTCAATTAACATGCTTTACTTTCTCCTTTCTCAACATCTCAATGCAAGATACCCTCCTAAAATCGACCTATGGAAGTGTTAGGGACCAGGAACCAGACAGAGACAGAACTAGATGCAAAAACACCTTTATTAATAAATAGAAAATAAAGTAATAACCAAAAGCAAAGTCCAGGAGGCAAGCAGGGGTCAGGCACCAAAGCAGGTAGTCAGATGAGGCAGGATCAGGAGAACGGAGAGCAGCAAAGTCAGGAACAAGGCCAGAGTCAGGAACCAGGAACACACAGGAACAAGGAGACTTCTGGGGAACAGGAAACCACGCAAGGGCAAGGAGGTACTGGGATTTGCTGCTTAAATAGGCTGCACGGATTAGCAGCAGGGTTGGTTACTATCAGGTGAGTAACCGTAGCAACATTAATGAAGGAGCTGATCGTTAATCTCAGCTGAAAACTCAGACACAGAAAAAGGAAGGGTTGCTGTTTAAAACAGCATAGAAACCCTGACAGGAAGGTAGTGTTGGTGTATTGCCCCCTAGTGATAGAAGTGTACACATGTGTCAGGCAGAGACATCCCTTATCCTTTTCTAGTCAGAGGTGAGTTTTGTTTTCCTTATGTAATGCAATTCTATGTTGTAAACTAGGGATTGCACTGTTATCAGAGCCGTTGTACAAAAATCATTTTCATAATTTCATCACAATTCAACATTATACACAGGACATACTTGAAAACGAGAAAAATCTCAATATATCCTTCTTGGTAAAATATTTTATAAATAAATAAATAGTAGTTAAAATTGAATAAAAAAGATCCATCAAGTTCAATATTTGACATACTCCTGTATCTTATAATAATAGGGACATAGCTAGGAGGCTGTCATGATACCTTATCTTAGTCCCGTGGGCCCGCAAGGAGGTGCTCCGGTTGGCAACTCCTACCGGCGTCGGCACAGCATTTTTGGACGCCGGTCGCTCCACTCATTCCCCCTTGAGTGTTCCACGCTCCCTGACATTTTGGGGGAGTGGATTTAAAGCAAAAGACGTTACCCTATAAAAGAGTGCCTTTTACTTCAGTTCAAAGCACTATTGTGGTTCACTAGTTGTTCCCTCTTGTGCTATACTGATTCCTGTCTGTGTTATTTGGTATTTGACTAGGCTTGTATATTACAGACTATTCTGCATTTTGCAGATGGAATGAGTAGTATCTCGAAATGATGGATATAGGAGTAAGTGTGGAGTGAGAAAGAGATCAAAATTGGTGCAGTATATTTGTGCAATGCAAACAATATAAACTAAATGGCTTACCTTGGTTTGGAGCCCATAAAAGACTACACATTGCACATTTCCAATACATTTTTATATTGTAAAATATTTATTGAGTTCAATATTTGCATATTTCCTCATATCTGTAATATGTTTATTGTGAGAATATATATTTTTATTGGGTTACTGGGTTTGCATATTTCTACATATCTGTAATTATGTGTATTGTGAGATTATTTATTTTTATTGGGTTACTAAATTTGCATATTTCCACATATCTGTAATTAAGTTGCATTATAATTAGACTGTCCCTTTCTTGTTCCATTTTCCTCTCTTACAAAACAGAATTAACTTGTGTATTGAGAGCGATTCGCGCTAAGGATTATGGTCGTAGTAGTTGTTACAGAACTGTATTCGCATTGAGTGAATTATAAGTTCGGTCGGCCCGAACGACATTCAAAAAAAATTTTGTATTTGCAGAAGAGGGGTATCGAATGAAACGTCGATATGTCACTACCAGGAGATTCTATTCACAACACACAGGACTGAAACTGGAGTTGATGGTAAACGATCGAAACACGCTTTCAGGACAGAATTTCACTGCTACATAGCACTAAAAGTTAAAAGTGTGTCTATGTCTGTGTATGTTTGTATTGAGAGTGGGTGTTGTAGGGCAACTCAAAACCTAAATACGTCACTATTCTCTGTGTGGATTTTTATGTACCGTTGCTACACTAGTCACTCCAGTTAGTGCTGGAAAGGAAATACCTCCTTCAGAGAAGAGACAGTTACTCTTTAGGACAGATAGAATTGGCAGGGCTGTGAAGGAATACTTTGTATTTTTAGCAATATGTTGTAAATGCTGACAGATATAGGATTCCTAAGAAGCTGACTGACAATGTATCAATTTCCTGTGGTAGAACTTTCCCAGGAAAGTGGCTCCAATGCGTGTAAGATGGCTCTGCCACTTTATAAACCAAAATTCATTGCCCAGGTTTATGATTGGATAACCCACTTAAAGTTACCTGAACCGTCCAGAATGTGGGTTTATTCGCTAAACAGGAATTGTGGGCAATTAGCAGACAGAACACATTGTGATTACAATGCACAGCAACTGTGGTGCCTGTGGTTTTTGGAAATGCCTGTGATTTAAAGTGTGGTGAGCCTGCAGTTGCACATTTCTGTCTCTCTGGTAGCAAAATGGTTAAGAGTGTGTTACCATTTTCATAGTCCTGCTATTACAGGATATAACTCTGCACCCGCAGGGAAACTGGGAAAAGTCTAGATATTATTTTACAGTTTAAATGCCTCCTTGTTGTCTTTGAAGTTGTTCCACAGAACAGAATGAGTCAGATGAATGTGTTTTTAACAGACAACGCACTCTGTAAAACTGGCCAAACACATCTAGTTCGGCTACTTTGCTTCCCCCTTCCTTCCCCCCATTTCCCTGGTACACCCACCAACAACAAGTCAAATCCATTAAAAAAAAGATGCTGACAGACTTGTAGTCTATAGACCACGGTGTCCTGTAATTCTCGCACAATTCTTATTCTCATATGCAAATTCACAAAAGTACTATATAACCCGTTAACTGTTTGAGTTACAAATTGGTACATTTTTAACATTTGTAATCCCACAGACTGCAAGCTTTACGTGAATATTTTTAGACTCCTTTTTCACAAACGTTTTTGATCGTATTTACCAAGGGTACTGTGATGGGATTCCAGCATGGTTAAAATTTAGTAGGCCAAAATCTCCATGTGGCATATGTGTATGTTGTGTCAGTTGGTTAGCTACATGTAGCTAGGATACTGTCATCAGTGTACTGAGCATGTGCAGGAATGCAGGAACTGAAATTGCACTTATTTCCTTTGTCTTGGATGGGCCATGTGGTTTGACTAGATGTACAAGTCTATATTCTGCTCATTGATTGGTTAAAGGTATATGTGGGTGTAGCTATTAATGGGAGGAGTTATGTGCCTATATAGGGAGCCTGCACTATTGTTCAGGGCTCAGAACTTGCTGTATTTTTGGTGACATTAGTCCCTCTGAGTCCCGATCGGTGATCCAATAAAGAATCTCCTCCTTCCTGAAGAAACCTGTGTCCATCTCTCTGTGCTTTGCTTCCGTCAGTTTCTCCGGTATCATTTGGTGCATTGGCCGGGAAGCTCATCGTTCAACGGTAGCTGAGAGGCAGAGGCGTGAGACGGTCTATCTTTGCCCACGTTCTCTACGGCTGCACCCCTGAACTTCTGCGTGGACCTCCCTTCGTCTCGGCGCCACTGGTCTGTTGTCCAGGAGATCATCGGCCTCTACGTAAGAAGTGCTGGGGTGTCCCCGTCGATGAGTGTGAACTCAGGTTCAGGAACGAGGAGGTAAGACAACTGCTGTTTTAGACGGCAGACCCACTAGGGGTATACCGATTGTGCGGTAGGCCCAAAAGGGGTTTAAATCTGTGTATGGAATCTGCCCCCTCTGTCGGAGGGAAGGAGCGAAGGCGCACCGCTCGATCGAACGCTCTTTAGTAAGACCGTTTGATCTGGTTAGTCAGGCGGGGTCCTGTGTAAATAGCCCTAGCCGGACACCGGTGTCTTGTCTAGACTAGCGTTCTAGGGTGTATATTACGTTCGCTAGGTCGGAGGGACCGGGAGACTAAGCGGCGCCTGTGTAAATTCGGTTCGCTAGCTCTCAACCTATCTTGGCTAAGTGGGAAGGCGTGTAAATTTGGAACCCACTAGACTTTTGATAGAGTAAATAGACTAGAAGGGCAATTTCCGCCCTCTAGTTCGCTATATGTGGTGCTTGGGCAGTGTGGCTAACCAAAACGGGTGTATATAGTTTTAGGTAGTCTATTCAAGGTACTGGCCAATAGTTTAGTTGGGATTATTGTAAATGTTGTTAAATATATTGTAGTTGGTGAATTGGTTAACTTGTATGTCCTACTAGAAAGTTAGAGCTCTGCTGTCTAGTGGGAGTGTAAATTGTGTGTATAACTGTAAAATAGCGCACGGTACCATAACTACTGACATGTACCATAACCACTGACATTGTGTAAAAATTACTAACAATTGCTGTTTTATGTTATATGTATAATACCATAACTGTTACTAACTGATCTGTGACTTTAAAACTGTATTATAACCACTTACTAACTGTACCATAACCACTGACTGTAAAGATGAGGTTACTAGAATGTGATATAGTTGGTTAGTCAAAAGTTGATTTATAGTACAGATAATTGTAGAGATGAATTTGTTGAAATGTTATGTGATCGGTTAGTTTATATGGATTAATAGCGTGGATAGTTGTATGGTTTGAATAATTGTTACATTGATAAGTGTATAGTCTTTGGTGGGTTTTTGATTTAATTTTGTGTGTGCGACGTCATGATATTGTTGAGCATGTGAGGATCCTGTGTGTGTGTTTGGGCCTAGTGACTGCGCAATGTGTTGCTGGTGATAAGGAGATTGGTGTGACTGTTGAAACTGTGTGTATATTTGTACAGCTTTTTGAATCAGACGTTCTGTTGAAATAATCTGATTCACTTGGCTGTTAGTCTTTTGTCTTGTATGTTTAAAAAAAAAAAAAGTAGGGAGTAGCTTGTCCTGGTGGCCGCATGGCCTCCATGTAGCAGTCTTCACTTAAATTTAGTGCAGGGTGTACATGTGGCTGTAACTAGTAGGCTGGAATTCTATGATCAGTTTCTATATATTGACTGTTGGAAACTGATTGTTGCCTTGGTGAATTAAACTGTGTCATATGGGAAACAATGTAGCCACATGGTGGTCAGAACTAAGGACTTAATTACAACTGCTTTGGACATCCCCTCCCCCCCTGGCATCTGATTACCAACCCCCCAAACATCCTCCAGAGCCAGATTAGCCACGCCCATTTCTGGCTGGTATAATCAGTATTTGCACTCTCCCTGCTCTACTGTCCCCGCCTACCCACATACCTATCTGTTCCTGTGTTTCAAACTCTTGTATTTCTGTACTACCCCTCCCCCTAATCAATGATCAATGGTATCAGATGGTATATTGGTTTTTTTTTAGTTACTGGATGGGCCCCTCCCAGCTTTGTCCAAAATGTCCCCTTTTACTAAACTACAAACTGAAATGTTTAATTTACCTTAGAACTAAAGATTTAATCAAGCCTAGCTAGCAGGGTGGACATTGATTAAAATAAGTAATAATAAAATAGGACATAATTAATTAAAGTCTATTTGTTTCATTTGACTTTAGGGAGGCACTCTAAGCCACCTACTGGCCATCTTCGGGAGTTACATTGATAATACATTGTTTATAACAGATAGATGTAGGATTGCTTACCCTATTTTAATATATTTATTGCTATAAGGTTTTATTTTATGTATAAATATATTAAAAGTTGAGTTTTCTTATTAGACCCATAAAGATTATTTTGATACAATTACCCTCTGGTGACACCTACTGGTAGGTTTTTGGTTTAACACTTTAAACAAAAACGTTTTTTTTCATCCACCAAATGCCGACTAATAAAATTAGCTCACCCCCTTACACTTATCTTACTACCCGTAGACTGGAACCTATTATTGAGCAGCCTTGCCGAAGTCCCATATTAGACACTGCTTGAGTCAAATAGGTTGTATACTCCCTTTAATCCAGAGGCTCCTGAGAATTCTAGGATGATTAATTCAGCATTTGTCAGCCAGGCCCAAGGTGATAGTAAAAGGAAATTAAAGAAAATTAGAGGGATTTGTAGGGATGTCCATAATACAGCTAATGGAGATTGCAAATACAGTATATATGAATAGGGAGATGGAGGAAGAACGTAAAATGAGGAAAAAGGCAGATATGCTAGCGGTAGCTATCTTAAGTGTAGAAAGACAGGGAAGTGAATAGAGGAGACGAGAATAGGCTGAGCAAGGGACTTTAAGTAGGAATTAATGTGCGTATTGTAGAAAGGAGGGACATTGGAAGAGTGAGTGTCCACAGAGAGAGCAGTATGAAGGTGATAGACAAGGAGAGAGAAGGGTACGAGGAGGTTATAGTGGTAGTTATAGAGTAAGAGGAAGTTTTAGAGGGAATGGTGGGAATAGTAGAGGAAGTGTTCAAGGAGACAGATACTATCCACCCACGCAGAGACCTAGAGAAAGAGAGGATAGAGATTTTGTGGGTCTGGCTGACACTATCATGGAAGACTATTGATACCGACTGGGCTCCATCCCACTTGGTCAAGCGGAGCCTATGGTCGATGTAGCAATAGGGGGAAAGAGAAGTTCTTTCATGATCGACACAGGTGCTGAACATTCTGTGGTGAAGCATTAGTTCCTATATATGCCAGAGTGTCCGATTCAACTTTTAGGACGAGATCTATTATCGAAGCTTTAAACTCAGATAACCTTTTACCTAATGGATTAACATCTCTGAAGTTTAAGGGATTACCAGGCATAATGGCGATATCGGTGCCGAGGGAAGAAGAATGACGCTTCTATTCCATAGTGACAAGTGTTAACCCTAAGAGTGATGAATCCTTATTTGACATTCCAGGAGTATGGGAAGAAAATAATCCTCCAGGACTTGCTCGTAATATCCCACCAATACATATCGAGTTAAAGCTCGGGGTGTATTCTGTTAGCCTTTGTATGTTGTTCTTTTATCTACCCCAACAGCTGTAAAGGTGGCGGAAGTGACTCCTTGGATTCATCATTCTAAGGTTAAACCAGCAGCAGACTCTTGGCAAACTACTCCAGATCCTGAGAATCCTTGCAGGACCCGGTTGAAGCGTGCAACTCAGTCGGAGTGACGAGGGGATATCGAGACATTGTAATTAAAAGTCTACAAAGATCATCAAGTAGGTGTTTTGACGGCCATAATAAAGCCTGACCACCTGCCTACGTGTCATAGCCAGAGTATCTTGAAGGGATCTCTGTGAAGGAAAGTGAGGATCAGAAGAACAACATCCTTGCAGCCCTCACAATCGGGAAGCTGAGAGGCCATCGCACGGTTGAAGAAAAATGAGGATTTCAGGAATAATGTGTTTTATTGTGTCTTAGTATTTTTATGATTTTTCAGGAAGGTAGGAGTACAGACATACCGAATTGCGATAGTTGCATTAAGACTACTAAAACAGGTAACCAAATATCCCAAACTCTCATCTGGCACTCACAGTATGAATGTAAGGGATCTGTATCTAAATGTAGATATTTGGATATTGATTATAGTGTGTGCAAGCCAATATCAGGAGAGTCTAAATGTTTTGATCCCCATTTCCAACCCCGTACAATTTGGTTGGTAATTCGGAATAGTAACTCCCAGGGGACATTAATAAATAGGACTGTGATAAGCACCATACATTCCGCGGGTATTCTACTATTTGATGCATGTAAGGCGATTTCGGGTAGTGGAAGACTTTGGAATGTATGTGGTAATCTTAAATGGGAACGAACTTACGGGTTTAATGATAAATACTTATGTCCCAGTAAAAGATCTACTGATCCTGATTGCCCAAATAGAGACTAACTTCTGCCCCTATTGGTCATGTGTAGGTTGGGCAACCTGGGAAAAACAGTGGATCAAGATATGATTATCCAAAGGTTGCCTACCACACCATACTGTAAAACTATGTGTGTAACCCCGTTCACATGACCATTTCCAATCTGCAGTACTTTATTGACAGGTTTGGAGGTCTGTTTGGGTTTCAAATATATGGCACAGGAGTAGATCCAGGAACAATAATATATGTAGGTCTTGAAACTGAGACAGTGGCAACTCAAACTCATCAGGTTTCTCATTCCTTCTATGAGGAGATGAGTATTGAGGATAAAATTCCCCATAATGTTAACAACCTATTTATTGATTTGGCTGAGGGTATTGCAGGTAGTCTTAATGTAACTAATTGCTATGTGTGTGGAGGTACTAATATGGGAGACCAGTGGCCATGGGAGGCAAAGGAAATATGGTACCCTGGCTCTGAGACATATGAACAACAGATACCTTTCCAGTCTGATCATCAAGTAAGTACTAGAAGTAAATTGGAATGGTGGTTAAAAACCTCCATTATAGGTCATGTTTGTATAGCCAGGAAAGGGACAATGTATAACACGTCTGTAGGTGAGCTAACTTGCTTGGGACAAAAAGCCTATAATGTTAATACTAAAAATACTACTTGGTGGTCAGCTTCAAATGTCTCGGAACCTACTAATCCGTTTGCCAATTACACTCATTTAAAGGAGGTATGGTTTGACTTATCGGCTACATCTAGTTGGAAAGCCCCAGCAAATTTATACTGGATTTGTGGTAATAAAACTTATTCGGAGTTACCACAAGATTGGGAAGGGGCATGTGTATTAGGTATGCCAAAGCCATCCTTCTTCTTGTTGCCAATCGAAACAGGAGAGACCTTGGGAGTTAAGGTTTACGATGTAAATCATAAAAGGGAGAGAGCATCCTTGAATATAGGTAGCTGGGAAGATAATGAGTGGCCCCCTCAACGTATTATTAATTATTATGGACCTGCTACTTGGGCAGAAGATGGCACTTATGGATATAGAACTCCGATTATATATGCTCAACCGCATTATTAGACTACAGGCGGTAGTTGAGATTATTACTAATGAGACAGCTCAAGTGCTTAATCTTCTAGCTAAGCAAAATACCAAGATGTGATCAGCCATATACCAGAATAGGCTAGCCCTTGATTACTTACTAGCAGTAGAAGGAGGTGTATGCGGAAAGTTTAATCTAAGTAACTGTTGTCTGCACATAGATGATGAAGGGCAGGCAGTGGCTGAACTTACAAGCCACATGGTTAAATTTGAGCATGTACCTACTCAGGTCTGGAATGGGTATAATCTAAGTAGTTGGTTTGGAAGTTGGTATGAGCAGCTTGGAGGAATTAAGACATTAGTAGGAGGAGTAGAATTTATTATATTTTTTTTGTGCCTCCTCCTGCCCTGTCTAATTCCACTAGTGGTAAGGTCCCTACGTAGTATTATAGAGAGTACTAGAGAGAGAAAGACAGCTGCCCATGTAATGGCTGTCTGGAAGATATGATCCCCTAGCCCGAAGAGAATATATTCAGGATGAAGAATGTTGAAGGAGTTTTTAAGATGCTTACAAGGTCTACTCTGGTTCAATGGCTACTTGAGAGATGTAGGTAAAACTGTGATTGGTGATGCATCTGGAATAATGTTATATCAGAGGCATCAAAAGGGGGGAATGTGATGGGATTCCAGCATGGTTAAAATTTAGTAGGCCAAAATCTCCATGTGGCATATGTGTATGTTGTGTCAGTTGGTTAGCTACATGTAGCTAGGATACTGTCATCAGTGTACTGAGCATGTGCAGGAATGCAGGAACTGAAATTGCACTTATTTCCTTTGTCTTGGATGGGCCATGTGGTTTGACTAGATGTACAAGTCTATATTCTGCTCATTGATTGGTTAAAGGTATATGTGGGTGTAGCTATTAATGGGAGGAGTTATGTGCCTATATAGGGAGCCTGCACTATTGTTCAGGGCTCAGAACTTGCTGTATTTTTGGTGACATTAGTCCCTCTGAGTCCCGATCGGTGATCCAATAAAGAATCTCCTCCTTCCTGAAGAAACCTGTGTCCATCTCTCTGTGCTTTGCTTCCGTCAGTTTCTCCGGTATCAGTACCAATATTAGCAGAGGGCACTGTGTATATATATATATAATGTCTCTCTTTGTCCTTGCACACACACTTTAAATTTTCAGAATGCCAGGTGCACTCTATCTGTATTGATCCTGATGAAAGCCACGGACGTTAGCTGAAACGTTGATTGCATTTTAAAGGAATGAAATAAAGGAACCTTTTAAAAGAAAACAAGACCGTGAGTGCAAGCCTTTCAATACTTGTGTATATATATATATATGCTGATAATCACAACATTAACCCATTAAGGACTGAGCCAAATGTACAAGTTGTGATCAAAACAAAACATAAACAAAACCTGGAATTTGCGCTATATGTCTGTTCAACCGTAATTCACCTCTTTTATATTAAATGCACCCACCCTTATTATATGTCATTTTATTCAGGGAAAACAGGGCTTTCATTTAACATCAAATATTTAGGTATGAAATATAATTTAATATGAATAAAATATAAAAAAAAATAGGGGAATATAAGAAATGTTGTTGGGGCGGAGCCTAGCTTCCAGGCTGATCAGACGTGCAGGAACCAAGCTCCTGACCAAAACTGCTTATTTGAGGGTAGAAACCCCCAAAAACCGGCACTTCTACTATTAGGAGGATGCTAAACGGGGATGGGACACCCGGAGGAACCGACTGACACCCGATTCTCCCCTAACAATAGCCGGGAACCCTAAAAACCTGCTGAGGCCTACTGGGGATCGAACCGAGGAGAGGCGGCCGCTTTCCTTGCTAGAGAGCTAGACCACAGGCTCAGCATACCTCCTAAATCCTACCAACACCCCCCCCCCCCGGACTGGTGGGGGACATCCCGGTCCGCACTAAACGACTGAAGCACACACACAAGCTACTGCCACGGGGCCTGACCGAGACACCTGGGTGAGCCACGAGGCACCCTCAAGATGGCCGCCACAGCGCAACCCCAGCACAGCCCAGTAAGCCAGACGGACCAAAGCTGGAGAGAGGCCTTTGACACCCGGTTTGAGGCTATTTGCCAGGCCTTCTGGGACCGCATAGCCAAGCGGGGACCCCAGCCGGGCCCTCCCGAAACGGAACCTACCTACCACACAGCAGCGGACACCTGTCCCTCTTCTGGGCCGGGGGCCCAACTGGAGGAAACTCCAGGCCGTAGTCCGACCACCCACAAGGAAGACCGCAAGCCGGAAACCCCGGGGACCCACGATCTGGCCTCCCGATGGAGGGGGATCCACGGACAGAGGGCACTAGCCCCCTACAAAGCCTGGAGCCGAAGAGACAGAGACCCGTCATGCTGCACACAGAGCTCGCAACGCGAACAGGGCAACCCAGGTTCCCGCATACCGACAAGAAGCACGAGCAAAACAGATCTGGAAACGGACTCTCCATTGCGGCAAGCACGGGGCATAGGCTGAGGAAGGCACACAACACACTCATCAGCCCACCTCCTGAAGCCTGACAACGGTCTGAGCCCTGACAACCCCTCATGGACACTGCTAACTGTAAATAGCCCATTGTACACAGGCTTACTCACACCTTAGCTAACAACGAAAATCCTAGCTTCTATAGCTATATCAGTCTTATACAAGCTGTCGCTTCACCAGCTTGTTATACATAGATCCTACACTTCTATGTCTGATAACATCACACTAGCCTAGCATATTACCCACAAAACATGCACAATCTACCTGCCTAGCAATGTATACCGCTATCAACCGCAAGCTTCCAACTTAACCCACGCTCTGACCAAGCATTTTCACAGCATAAATACATACTTACAGACGAAGCTACACGGTTAACCCTGATTATGTTAAACATGTTTATGTTATAATGCAATTGTGCCTGATATTCAAATGCCCAACACGATGAGAATGGGTTAAATTATATTAAGCATGGTTACATCTATTTAAGCGGTTAAATGTTAACTGTTATAGTGATTAGGATAATGTGATTGTCGAGTGCTATTAAGCTTAGTATAACTGCGAACACCGAATATAACAAAATGAATGATCGCTGTATAGGCTCCATGCTCTACCCATGGTATAACAACTGAGTTACAATAGTATCCTGAAGACATTGCCGAAGTCAAGTGTGCACGGAGTATCTGTATCAGCCGGCGGCTGCACGAACTCGTTATAGGACTGTCCCATTCAGGGTCCGGTGAATTGCTGTTTGATATGTTTTTTTTTTTAATAAATCATTTTTAATCTTACCGGCTGCAGTGGACATCTCTGTATATTTGGGCTATTCATCTGCTCTATGCTTGTGAGTGAACTCTTTATTTTAAATACTCACAATACTTTCACTTTGCAATATTTCACTATATATATTTTGTATTTTTCTTTTATATGTTACCATTTGGAGCTGAGATTAACTTCAGATATGTTACTAGTGTAAGTTTCTATTTATACATATTTGTGCACTGGATCACTTTGAAGTGGTTTTTGCAATTTGCACTTTTGTATTATATGGATATATGCACATTGCACTTTCTATGAATGAAAAGTTTTTGCACTTTATTTCACATATTTGATGTTGTTAGACAATTTGCACTTTGAATTTTAGCGCACTTATTTTTTCTGTTTTGACTGTAATTTTTTGTTTTATGGGCTAATATACTTATAAGTGCTGCTTTATTTATTAAGGTTCACATTATTACTTTTAAAGCACCACTTTTTCACTTGTTGATTGTATTTCTATTATGTAAAAATATTATATAAATATATTTGTAGAATTTAAATATATATATATATATATAAAAAAAAATTAATTTAATTTATATATAGCTATATATATATATATATATATATAGAGAGAAAGATATATAGATATATATATGTATTTATAATGTCATTCTAAATGTATTTTGAATTTAATATATATGTATATTTATTTTAAAATACAGTTAGAACAAATTAAAACTAGTATATAATTTTTTTAATTTAATTTTAATTTAGTTTTATTATTTTTTCATTTTTTTAAAATGTATTTATTGATTATTTTCATTATATATATATATATATGTATATATATATATATATAAATAACATCATTCTACGTGTATTTTAATATTAATATATATATATATATATATTTATATTAAAGGAACACTATAGTCACCTAAATTACTTTAGCTAAATAAAGCAGTTTTAGTGTATAGATCATTCCCCTGCAATTTCACTGCTCGATTCACTGTCATTTAGGAGTTAAATCACTTTGTTTCTGTTTATGAAGCCCTAGCCACACCTCCCCTGGCTATGACTGACAGAGCCTGCATTAAAAAAAAACTGGTTTCACTTTCAAACAGATGTAATTTACCTTAAATAATTGTATCTCAATCTCTAAATTTAACTTTAATCACATACAGGGGGCTCTTGCAGGTTCTACCAAGCTATTAACATAGCAGTGGATAAGAAAATCTTAATTAAACAGAACTTGCAATAAAGAAAGCCTAAATAGGGCTCTCTTTACAGGAAGTGTTTTGGAAGGCTGTGCAAGTCACATGCAGGGAGGTGTGACTAGGGTTCATAAACAAAGGGATTTAACTACTAAATGGCAGAGGATTGAGCAGTGAGGCTACAGGGGCATGTTCTATACACCAAGACTGCTTCATTAAGCTAAAGTTGTTCAGGTGACTATACACTTGGTAAATGTATGTGTATGTGCATATAAAAGTACTTAGATCATATATATACAAATATAGATATATGATCCAAGTACTTTTATTAACTTTCTAAACTTTTTTACAGACATTAGGGGGACTACCTGAGAGGAGGTACTGCATAAGCCGGCTATTCCGGCCATGCGATCGCAAGGACCATGCAATCACGTCCAGAGAGGGCCGGAATGGGCAGAGGGGGTCTGCCTGAGCTCCCAGGCAGTCCCCAGGATCACGACCACTGGCGTGGGAACGGCGGGGACCCGGTAAGTCCAAAGGTTCTATGCCGCCTGCTGGCGTTTAGGACCACCCTAAAAAGGACAGCATAGAATGCCCGCCATCCTTAAGGGGTTAAACAATGCAGGTGAAGACAATAACATTGATTATATTGTTACAATGACACCTGTCAAGGGGTGGGATATATTAGGCAGCAAGTGAACAGTCAGTTCTTGAATTTTATGTGTTGGAAGCAGGAAGAATTGACAAGCAAAAAGATCTGAGTGACTTTGACAAGGGCCAAATAGTGATGGCTTGACGACTGGGTCAGAGCATCTCCAAAATGGCAAAGGTCTTTTGGGATGTTTCCAGTATGCATTGGTAAGTACCTCACAAAGGTGGTAGAAGGAAGGACAACTGGTGAACCGGTGAAAGGCTAGCCCATCTGATCCAATCACACAGAGGATTTGCTGTAGTTTAAATTGCTGAAAAACCTAATGCTGGCCATGACAGAAAGGTGTCAGAACAACAGTGCAAAGCAGTTTGCTGTGTAAGGGGCCCCATAGCTGTAGACTGGTCAGAGTGCCCACGATGACCACTGCCAAAACTGCCTTTAATGAGGACGAGTGTCAGAACTGGAACATGAAGCAATGGAAGGTTACCTGGTCTAATTAGTCATGTTTTTTGTCTTTTAGGTCAGGTAGAAGGCTGGGAGTGTGTGCTTGTTTACGTGGGGGAGAGATGGCAGCAGGATGCTCTATAGGCAGAAATTTATAACTGCTATTTATTACCTGCATATCTCAAGTTGGATTTTGAAAAACCCTCCTTAGGTGCAGAAACTCGAATCATGTTTCCATAACTATTCCAAAATTCCCAGCTTGACATGCAAATGAGCAGAGACATAGATGATGTATTTCAGATTTCTCTTACCATTTCTGTAGTTACCCTTAGCATTGGACATTGCATAACAGTAATTTTTCAAGGTTAAAACTGCAGTCCATGGCTGGTTTCTGATAACTAGTCCTTCTGGATCACAACCCATGCTATGGTTTAAAAACCAAACCTGTGAATAAAGCAATGTCTATTGCAACAGGTAACTACAGAAATGCAAGAGTGAAGTCTAAACGCACCTGTGTGTGCTGGTTTGCATGCCAAGCTTGGAACTCTAGGATAGTTGTGAAAACATGATTATTAGATTTTCTATGCCAAATGAGGACTTTTCAAAGTACACTTTGAAATATGCAGGTGATGCACAACATTCATTATTTAATTTGCACTGTTGGCATTTTTCTTGTGTTTTGCCTCACCACAATCTTATTGGCACCTATAGATTTATATTACAGGGAACATATAGTCCTGAAAATAACTCTTTTTTTTGTTGTTGGTTTTTTTTTGTTTAGCACTATGCATTCCCTTATAGTGCAGCAATCACTGTCTACCCCCATTTTCTTAGTAAAATGAAGATAACTCACCTGGTTCCATAGAGAAGCAATGGATTGGAACCAGGCATGCACATCCAAAGTTCATGTTCCTCCAATCAGATCCTGCTGTCAGCAGCATTTCATTCAAGGACCAGGTTTGACTTGGTTTTGCAGGAGCAATAGCCCTGAGTGGCTGTCAGAAAGACAGAAGCTAGAGGTGGATTTAATACTGCAATGCAAACATACAGTTTCTAGAAAACTGAATCGTATAATATTGCAGGGTTAAAAGGACAGGCCCACAGCACCCAGCCTAACTAATTGAGATGAAGTGGTCTTGGTACCTTTAGTTGTCCTTTAATTATATATGTATTTTGTATCAGACACAAGGGGAACAAGACTGAGATCCAGCCTTTTGGTAAGTATCCCAGGCAGTGAATCGCCATCTTGGTTTTCAATAGCTGCTATACTTCCCAAGGAAGCTCCCGCACATGTTAGAGATGTGTGTTGTATGATGGTTCTCATGTATGCACCCCATTGGTGCAAGTTTGGGGCATTCTGGGAAGGGGATGCACGATCCACAACTCTTTTAGTTTTTATGAGGTTGCCGTGAGATTGCTAGCCTCGAAAGGTGGGTGTTATTGCGGCTTATTGTAGAATCACTTGGGTGTCTAAAAAAATGCCCCGGAAAGAGTGCGTTTCAGGTGGAGTATAGGGGCAGAGTACCAGAGTCCTTAAACAGTCTGACTAAACTTTATAATAGAAGGTATCAAAACACATCTAAGATAATAGCATGGAGTAACCTGGGGCTGAATGTCCATGTAGTAGCATTGTGCTACATAAATTCCATCAGCCAGGATGAGAAGGGCTGCTATCAGTCTGTCAGTGTATGTGATGCTCTGATAATTAGACAGACATGATTACCAGTATTAAAGCTTCAGATTAATATAAGCATACTGATATGTGTTCTAGAACAATTATCTGTTTTAATATCAGAGGGGTACTAAAAACATATTATTTCTCACCGTTATGGCATTGAAAAGGCTCCTCGGACAAAACTAATTATTTTGGTTTCTGTTTAGCAATCTCCTTATTAATGTATTTCTCATGTGGACTGGTTCCGATATTCTTGTAAAAGCTCCCTGGTGGCACCTTTTGTTTCAATAATGTTTGCTGAGCTCTGCCTAGGTCCCTGATTGAAAGTTTCCAGTGAACATTTGCTTATGACACATCACCTGAAAATGAATGATTTTCCTAATTCACTAATCCAATTTAATATCCTTATGGAATAAATACTCATTCAAATTACAGCCTGTTATCTGTTTACTTGTCCAGAATGATAACGTCTCGATGTATGTGTTCAATCCTAAAGATTATAAAATATCATCTTCAGAAAATACAGAAAGTTAGTTATTCAAAAAAATGAGAATTCAAAGTGTAATCAAAGTGAATTTCAAATTCAAGGCAACATAACAGAACTGGAAAAACAAATGTATTCACTTCGAGTCTTGCTACCATGAAATTCACTGTCAATTCAATTTAATATTCTCACTTTAGTAATTAACCTTGTATATTTTCTTACAGCCATGCAGGACAATAGTAACTTTTTTTTTTTTTTTTTTAACTGCGATAGAATGCTGAAATACCACAATTTTGCTGAAAGGGATTGGTGGTTGGATGAAAAATACTCAATAAAGAAAGTATTAGACAGAATAGGGAGTAGGCCTGCCTGGAAAGGTATCAGCACACAGAACAAAATATACTACAAAGGAGCACAGAATATAAAAGACCAATGTTATGAGAGAGGATCGAGATACCAAAAGACAAAAAATATTTTTATTACCTTGTGTTTATAGATTCTGTTTTTGATGTATATATTTTTTTGGATTATCTGATAAAGTTTATTGATCTTTTATACAGTGTGCTCCTGTGTAGTATATTTTGTTCTATGTATTTATTTAGACTCGGAGGGAAACATGGGCATTGTTCACAGTGAGCACCCGCCTGTATTTTAGATCTTGTTTGCCTGTTTTTTTGAGTGCCCTGCACTATATTAATTGTTACTAAGGAATCAGCACATACTTGGCTGGCTTACTGCCTTCCAACCAGCCCCACTCAGGGCAAATTACGCTGAGAGTGCTGCTGAAACGGTCTCTGCATGCTCCTAGTGCTCACAGCACACTGGGAGTGTGTATAGCTATATACTTGAGCTGTGCTGGCTGAGGACATCTGGAACACCAGAGAGGAATATTTAGGATCCTGGGACATTCCCAGCAATCAGGGCTCTCCTGCCCAAATCAGGATATTTGGGATGCCTGCTTAGTTTAGGGACTACGCCCCAGAGTGAATGGAGATATGCAAAACTCTAACCTAAATGATTACATGACTATTCATTTTCAAAAACTAAATTTGGTAATGCATTAAAGGGACAAGCACCATAACTACTGCAGCACGCTGAGTAACATTTCAATTTGTTTTAGAATGGTTTGACCACTTACCTGGTCCCCAGACACCTGCATCACATTCATCCTGCAAGAAAAGCTGGATGTTCTCACTGAGCTAAGCAGGTCCGATGCAGCACCAGACTCATTGACTGAGAGCACTCAGATGATGAAAGCAGAGATGACCTGTCCTGCTTAGCTCAGCTCAGGGGTAACCAAAAGCAAGGCTGCAGGCTCCTGGCAGAACTCAGGCATGTGTTCAAATTATTCTAAAAGGTATTAACAAATTACTCTGGGAGGTTGTAAGGTCATTTATAGCACCATAACCACTACGACAGGCTGTGGTAGTAATGATACTTGGAGTGTTCCTTTAAGGTTTGGTTCCATAAGATCCTTAAAAAAATATTCAACTAGGGTTTGATATCTCTTTTCGGTGTTGCTATATACTTCTCTAGGTCTCACCCAAAACCTAGATTGGTTACTCTAGAACCCTGCTGCTATTACCAGATGTCAAACATTCTAAGTCACATTTCAAAGTCCTCAGTATCACCAACAGGTACCTTTTGTGTAATGCAAAACTGGTGTAGGAATCATTTAGAATTAACATTTGGCTATGTCCATACCACTGTATGGGGCCATGGCACAATCACCCTGGGCAATGATATTAAGAAATGCACGAATGAGCTAAGGAGACAAAAGAATAGCATGTCTGTTCTACTGGAAGGGTTAATATACCAAATCATTAGAGTGAGAAAAGTAGCAAACACCGGGCAACTTGCCCCTTTCTTCCCCCGTGCTGGCTGTCCCATCTCTAGCGCTCTCTGGTACATACAGTCCTAGTTTCGAGATGAAGGGGCGCTTTTAGTTTAAATAATGCCCCTAATGTCCTGGTCAGGGAACGCATTGTGAAATACCAAGATGATGCCATGTCTTTATCCAAACAGTAGTGACGCCATCCTGCAGAGGAGGAGGAGGGAAGGACAGCCAGCCTTTTCACTTTTCCAGTGTTCTGTAATTCTGTCCCTTGTTTTTGAGTTTTGTTGTTGTCATCCGTTTCTGCACGATCTTTGCATCAAAGACTTAATTGAACACAAAAAAACTTACCCCAGCCTTTGCTGTACTGACTGACTTCTGAAAGATCTGGCAAAAAAAACTTCTTCATCTAACCATTTAGATTGTAAGCTATTTGATAAAATGAAGCAGTATAAGTGGAGTACGAGAACAGAGAACAATTGTTTTAAAAGCCTCTATTATATATTTAACTGTAAACATGTTTATGCAGTTGCACAACGGGTTTAAAAGTAAATTATTACACTACAGGTTATTTACAGAACTGTGAATTGTTGAGAAATTGTTTTATTAATTCTGGCTGAATTTTAATATTTAGGCTAAAATAACTGAACTGAAACAACTGACTTGAATAATATTTGCAACTCAGCTATTGTGACCCCATGGTCATTGGTTAACCATTTATTAAGGAGAGAGAAGCTATGTCCTTCTTCTCCAGTCCTTCTTGAAACTGGAGCCATTTTCGAAAATATTATTTTTTGTCCTCCTCATGTGCTCTCTTTAGCCTCCCTCCCCTTCTGTGCCTTTATTTGTCCCCCCTGTACTCTCTTTTGCCCCCCTTCCCTCCTGTGCCTTTCTGTGTCCCCTCTGTGCCCTATTTAGCCCCCTCTCCTCCTGTGCCCTCTTTAGTCCCCTCTTCTTCTGTGCCCTCTTTAGCCCCCCTCTCCTACTGTGCCTGCTAAGGCTCACCTGAGGTGGGCAGACCGCGGCAGAGGAGCCTTTGTTTCCTATACTCAGTGTAACAGGAAGCAGTTCTGTGCTCTCTGTGAGCACTGTCGCACCAGGTAGGGGAACAGAGGCTCCTCTCCTGCTGGTCACTGGGAGATTAGCCCTCGCTTAGTACACCACTGCTACCGGGTGCAGAGCTGCAGACTGAAGTAGCTGTCAGCAAGCTCTGGTCAATTAGAACAGTTGCTGCAGGTTACTATGGCAACACGGAAGAGCTAGCTCACCGGACCACCAGAGAAAAGATTACTGCAGAAGAAAGGGTATAGGGTGGCCACATTGTCATCCTCCCCCCACACACACACACACACACACTGACCCCTCATCCTTCCCACCCACCAATAACTGTCACCCCCTTCAACCTGCCACACACATTAACTCCCATACTCTTGTCACACTCACCCTCTCCAACCATGCCATATTCACTCTTTCACATTAACCTCTCCAATCCTGAAACACTAATTCCCCCACCCATGCCATACTCACCCTGTTACATAAACCCCATAATCGTGTTACCCTCACATCCTCTTGCTCTGACACACTCACTCCTCCAACCATGTTACATTCACCCCAACCCTGTAACACTCTCCCCCAACCATGCCACCCTCACCCTGTCACAATAACCCAATTAATCCTGTCACACTTACCATCCCTTTCCCTGATACACAATACCACACTCATCCCCAATCCTGTCACATTCACTCTACCAACTATGCCACACTCACCCTATCACATTAACCCCTTTACCCCGTCACACCCCCTCACCCAAATAATCCGCACTCATCCTGTCACATTAGCCCTCCTAATTCTGTCATACTTACCCGTCACATTCCCTCCTCCAACCATGTCACATTCACCCTCAACACTACCACACTCAACCCTCCTCACTCTCACCCTGCCACAGTTACTCCTTTACCGACCAATGCACAAGGGCCACAGGAAGCACCCCCACACACAACACACTGAAAGCAGCTACCACACACACATAAGACCCCAGACACAAACATACACTTGCTCACAGACATACAGTCACACAAGGATACTCTGTCAGACACACACTCTCAGGCTCATATACAGGTAGGCAATGACAGACATATTCAGAAGTACACACAACCCAATACACATTGTAACTGTATACAGGGGTGTGCCTGGAGCATTTGGCACCCGGGGCGGATCCTATATTTGGCCCTCTTCTCCTCCCATCCCCCCAGCTTACAAATGTAAAAAAATTTTAAAAACACAGCAAATTTTTTAAAATGTATTTAGCACCGAGCAGTGTTTGTATTATTTATGTATTTAGCACCGAGTGGTGTTTGTGTGTTTGAATGTAAGCATGTTTTTGTATGGAGTATGTGTGAGTGAATGTACGAGTGTGTTTGCACGTTTTGCATTTGAATGCAGGCGTGTATTTTTCTGTAGTGTGGTTTTTGAATATAGTGGTGTGTTTTTATGTAATGTTGACATATGGATGCAGGGTTGTATTTGTGTGTAGTGTAGCGAAATGCTGAGATGTATGCACATATACACATATACACACACTGGCACACAGACACATAGGTACACACATGCAGTTACATAGAAACACAGTCATACACAGATACAGACAAACACTACACACACACATACAGACACACAGAGAAAGACACACAGGCACAGACACACATACAGATAGAGATACACACATACAGACACACTGATACAAACAGATACACAGACAGATACAAATACACACACTGACACAGATACACATATACCAACACACATACAGATACACAGACATACAGATATATGCATGTATAAGTGTGTGTGTGTGTTTGTATAGTGCATGTAGTGTGTTTGTATAGTGAGAGCAGTGTGTGTTTGTATAGTGAATGCAGTGTCTTTGTGTAGTGGATACAGTGTGTGTGCTTGTATAGTGGATGATGGTGAGAAGGAGGGGGTAATGGCTTGAGGGAGGGGGGAAGGTGAGAGGGAGGGGGGTGATGTGAGAGGGGATGATGGTGTGAGGGAGGGATGATGATGAGGGGGATGTGAGAGGGGGTGATGTGTGAGGGAGGAGGGGTGATGATGAGGGAGAGAGGGGTGTAGCAGTTGCCTGGCACCCCGACTGGGTACCTCCGTTAAAGGATGCTCCTAGCGCTTCCTGAGGACTCCAAGCACTGCAGCAGACACCACAATCACCGAACCAGAGAAGCGTATACCTTCTCTCAAGCATATGAATGCTGTAGACAGTTGAATAGGAACCATACGAATAGGTTTACTCTCCTAGCAGTCAAACTGGAACAGCATACAATAAATCCTTCCCCCAATAATGAGACGACACTTCACTTTGAGGGTTAAAACAGGAACTCTCTGTACTGTCACATACAGTCTCTTTTATTCCCAAATCACAAACATAGTACAGCCCACAGGGCGTTACAAAACAACCAATCACATATCAGTTACATCCCACATATTCCCTCCCCTTATCCTGAGAGGAAACTCAATTACACATACAGTTAAAACATACTTTCTACCCAACTTTCATAACTCTAAAACCATACATCACATTCACATAAAATTACATATTCACAATCAATCCATTCAGGGGAACAACATATTCAAAAATGGCACAAATCAGACAAGGGGTTCAAAAGTTAGTAAAAAGTCCTTTGTGACTAAATGAAGCATGGCTTTCTGGCCCAAACCAGTTTCAGAGTCTTCTATCCTGGAGATAAGTAATTCAATTATCTCCCAGGACAGACACAAGACTCCATTAAGCACATGGTTGCAAAAAGACACAAAACACTTTAAAATACATAAAGTCACATTTACACATAACACACAGACATTTCACATATCCCCAGATAGCTGGGATCTGAGTGCACATTATTAGATGAATGGCACTCAGATCACACAAATAAGCCTTTCTGCAGGGGAAATAAACGGTTTAACCTGCAGGGCCATAGTCCAAAGGGAGCAGGCGAGCAACCAGGCTTCTCCAGTTCACAGTGGCGAGGTTGGTTTCGCCACACTTCTCCCCTTTACCAACTAGACTAACAGGGTATCTGACCTCCTGCCGGTCAGTGCCCTGGTTAGTCCAGCAACCCACCCACAAAACAGAAACAGCAGTACAGCCCACCCACAATAACTGGTTACTACACCTGGGTAGAGGAGAACTTTGTCCATGTCCAGGTGCCTCACCACGACTGTGTGGGCAACTGTTAGGCTGCCTTGGTGGGTTGCTGAGTGGGCAGAGACCAGCGGTACTCTGCCCTGATGCCAGTGCTACCACGGAAGTAGCCTGGTGGGAGCCTGGTTGTGGGAGGGAGAGACCGACTGTCTCCCCTCTGGATACACCGCTCTGTGGCTGGGGAACAGGACCGACTGTCCCTACCCCTTGTGCTGTAAGTGCAGAGACTACAGTCCCATCTGCACTGTTGGGGGGTGTAACATCTCCCCTTGCTGGGTTAGGCTGCCGCTGGAGAGAGGGTGTAACAAGCTCCTCTCTCTGAACTGTAAACTGCCGCTGGGGAGAGGGGGTATCAGGCTCCTCTCCCTGACACTCTCTCTGCTGGTGGAGAGGGGGACCAGCTGTCTCCCCTTTCATTATTTTGTCCTGTGGTTGGGGTGCGAGACTGACGGTCTCTGCTCCCTGCAGGACACTCTGCCGCTGGGGAGGAAGGACGGCACCTTCAGCTCCCTGGGGTACACACTGCCGCTGGGGAGGAAGGACTGCACCTTCAGCTCCCTGGGGTACACACTGCCGCTGGGGAGGAAGGACTGCACCTTCAGCTCCCTGGGGTGCACACTGCCGCTGGGGAGGAAGGACTGCACCTTCAGCTCCCTGGGGTACATACTGCCGCTGGAGATCTGGGCCGACCGCCCAGCATCCCTGTAGGGCCGGTTGAGAGACCGCCGTCCCATCTCCACCTGCCATCTGTGGGTCTG